CTTGAACCCGGGAGGCAGAGGTTGCAGTGAGTCAAGATTGTGCTATTGCACTCCAGCCTGGGCAACAAGAGCGAAACTCCATCTCAAAAAAAAAAAAAAAAAAAAAAAACCGATTAACTTTGTGAAGAGTACAAATTAAAACCTTGGTTTTGGCTGGGCGTGGTGGCTCACACCTTTAACCCCAGCAGTTTCAGAGGCTGAGGCGGAAGGATCGCTTGAGCCCCGGGGTTCAAGACCAGTTTGTGACAGAGCAAGACCGCATATCTAAAAAAAAATTAAAAATTAGCTGGGCGTAGTGGCGCATGCCTTAGTCCCAGCTACTCAGGAGGCTGACGCAGGAGGATTATTTGAGCAAGGGAGGTTGAGGCTGCAGTGAGCTGAGATCACACCACTGCACTCTGGCCTGGGCAATAGAGTAAGACCCTGCCTCACCCTGCCTCAAAATCAATCTATCTATCTTAGTTTAACTATCTTCTTAATGGGTAGATTTTACTTTTCTCCCCCGCCCCAAGGCAGAGTCTCGCTCGGTCGCCCAGGCTGGAGTACAGTGGCACCATCTCGACTCACGCAAGCTCCGCCTCCCGGGTTCACGCCATTCTCCTGCCTCAGCCTCCCGAGTAGCTGGGACTACAGGTGCCCACCACCACGACCGGCGAAGTTTTTGTATTTTTAGTAGAGACGGGGTTTCACCATGTTAGCCAGGATGGTCTCAATCTCCTGACCTCGTGATCTGCCCGCCTTGGCCTCCCAAAGTGCTGGGATTACAGGCGTGAGCCACCGTGCCTGGCCAGATTTTACTTTTTAATTCAGTTTCAATGAAAAGAAGGGGTCTATACTTCCCTTCTGTTTAGAAAAGCTAAGTTGCCATGGTACATTTTGAAAATGCTTTGAAAAGGAAACATTGTGTATAAATTTGCCTAATCAAAGTGAGACATTATCAAACACATACTTGAAAAGATTCATTTTTTTTTTTTTTCAGAGGGAGTCCTGCTCTGTGGCCCAGGCTGGAGTGCAGTGACATGATCTCAACTCACTACAACCTCTACCTCCCAGGTTCAAGTAATTCTCCTGCCTCGGCCTCCCAAGTAATTGGGAGGCACCAACCACCATGCCCAGCTAATTTTTGCATTTTTATTATTTATTTATTTATTTATTTAAGATGGAGTCTCACTCTGTCACCCACCCTGGAGTGCAGTGGCGCAATCTGGGCTCACTGTAACCTCCGCCTCCCAGGTTCAAGTGATCCTCCTGCCTCAGCCTCCCC